CCAAGAAATGGAGGGGGCTGCCTGAACCCATCTGAAGTCCCTGCCTGGGCAGGGCTGCACAGCTGGAGGCAGGTCCTTGGAGCTGTGACTGTGGGGGTCATGGTGCTGCTGTGTGACAGCAGCTGATCTCCCCCTGCCTAGCAGGTTTTTGTTCACCTCACTTGTGTCTGTGTCCTGCTGTTCCCAGGGTGCCAGAGTATCACTGCCCCGATCCTGCTGGGGAGGGATGCCGAGCCCTGGGCACGTCGTGGGGGCCTCTTTGGAGAGCTGCAGGTGAGAGTTTGCCTCTCTCTGGGGGGCTGGAGGAGCCACTGGGAAGCCAGTATCCCAACCCTGCTTTGGGTTGCTGCAAGCTTGGGAAGGCAAGAGCTACCCTGGGCATCTGTGGTTCCTGGGGTTTAGGGACCCTCAGAGAGACCTTGGAGCCAGGCAAACCTGATCGACTGTGTATCTTCCAGGCACTGCTGCCTGTGGGGAACAGCTGTGACCTCTTCTACCACCCACCACCTCTCTTCCCATCCAGCCAGAGGTACCTGCTGCGCCCGCTGCTGCCCTTGGACAAGGTGGGAGCCATGGCCTGCAGGGGTGTCCTGCCAGAGCTCACCTTTGCATGGCCTGTGCTGCACGAGTGTTAATGAGCTACAGGCTCGGCCCTGCTGACCCTCAGTGCAGGGGGGCACAGGTGGGGAGGGACCTCGGGTCCAGCTCTGCTCAGAGCTCCCTGGGGCCATGATCAGCATTGTGTCAGACCCTGGGCTGGAGAAGAGGAGCTGTGGCCTTGGCAAAGCTGCCTCCCTGTGACAAGGGCCTAGGCAGAGCAGGAAAAGGAGCCCTGCTTACCAATGAGCAGCAGGCACAGCCACAGTTTAACCAGCACTAGGTCAGGGTTGCCAGGTTGTGGGTGATCTCCAGAGCAGCCCCAGTGCTGATCTCCAGCAGTGGCTGTGAGCAGATGCCAGGAAATACCCAGAACAGGTCAAGTCTGGATGGTGACCTCCTGGAGCCTTCACTGGTCTGCAGCTCTGGGCACTGCCTGAGCCTGCTGGGGTTCATCTCCAAATGAGTCCCTTCTTTGAATAGTCATCCAGTTTATGGGCTGATTCCCTGCTGGAGAGCAGCAGCCACTGTCAGCCATGACCTTCTTGCTGCCAACCCCCTGCTCTGACATCCCAATAGCTCAATGGGATGGGGAGGGAAAGGGAGATTCTGATTGTGGGGGGACACCCAAATTAAAGTGTCACCAAATCCAGCAGAGCCCCGGGTTCCCCATGTACCACAGCCTGCAGCGAGCACCCCACCCTCACCCTGCTTCTCTCCCAGCCCAAGGAAAGGCTAATGCCTCAAATCCAGCCAGCACAGACACGAGTGCAGCTCCCTGCTAAACACAGCACCCGGCCATGTGCCGCTGTGGCGCTGCTAGGAAGCAGAGGAGGAGCTGCAAGCACAGGAGAGCAGATTGTAACCCCAGACTGTTCTGCCAGCAGTTCCCTTTGTGGGGACTTGTCTGCAGTTGCCTGTTGTCAGGTTTCATCTGCTCAGGCTGAACCTTAACAACTCGAATGTTTGTGTCCAGTGAAACTCTGAGAGGGAAATCCAGCTGAGCACATCAGTCTCTTCTGGGAATGGGGCACAACAGGGCACAGTCCTGCCCCAGTCGTTGGGTGACCAGGGCAGCCTCCCTCTCAGGATCAAGGCTTTTATCTGAATGTCCTTTTCACTGGGAGCAGCAGCAAACTCAACCGTGACCAAGACAGGACATTTGGGCATGTCCTGCTGTGCACAGGCTCTTTGGAGCCTTGAGTTCCAGTGTTGTTTTTGGGGTCATTCTGGCTGCTCCGAGTGTGCTCCGGCCTGGGGCCATCTCTGCAGCGGGTGCTCTCTGAACGCCTGACCAGAATGGCAGTCTCTGCTTTGAAGGGTGGCTGTGCTGTGGCCCTGAGCCCCAGGCTGGCAGACACCAGTGCCCTTGGGTGGCTGAAGCAGTACCCCTGAAGCAGTGCCCTGCCCTGCATCCCCTACCCTCGCCCGGAGGCCACAGCCCTGGTCGTGGTCCCTCTCTGCAGCCCCTTTGGCAGCTGCTGGTGTGCCACGCTCTGGCCAGGCCTGTGTTGGGAGCAGCTGGCAGTGTGGCAGGGCAGGCACAGCCAGGACTGAGGTGGGTCTCGGTCTTCCAGGGAGAGCTTTACCGGATGTGCCGGGAGAGTTTGGACTGTGATCCCAAGGTGGCAGAGATCCTCATGGCCCACCCGGATCTCCTCGGTGACAGGTGAGATGTGGCCCCTCTGGGGCTCCCTCTGGCCAGGCTGTGCTGAGCCTGGCCACGTGCTGAGGGATGCAGGGCCAGGGGATGAGGTGGTGGTCTCTCCTGGCATCCCTGCGGGGACCAGCTCTGCCCCTGGGCTGTCAGTGGCCTCACCCTGTGGGAGGGACAGGGAGGGACATCCCCATGCTGATGTCCAGCAGGGTCATGGCAGCCACAGTGGGGGCAAACCCACTGTCCAGCCTGGATGCAGGAGACTGTAGTGGCTCCCCTGGGCTGAGGGCTTCTGCTGGGGATCTCAGATTGTCAGTGGGCACTGGGTGCTGTCCTGCTGGGGCAGGAAGGAGGAGGCTGCTCTGAGGTTGCTCTGGGGCAGTCTGGGCTCCAGGCACAGCTCAGCTGTGCTCCTGCTCTGGCTGCCAGGCTGCTGGGCCCCTTCCTCAGCCTGAGCCCCGAGTACACCTTTGTGCTGGAGGACGAGGGTGGTCCGTGTGGCTACGCAGCTGGAGCACTCCATGCTGAAGGCTTCCTGCAGCAGCAAGACAGCAGCTGGCTGCCAGCCATGCGGCACAAGTACCCCCCAGACCTGGGCACGGGCGGCCCAGCTCTGGGACAGGTGAGGAGACACCTGGAGCAGAGGGGAGCGGGGATGGGGGCGGTGGAGGGGGTTCTCTCACTTGTGCTTGTGTCCCACAGGATGCCCTGGAGGAAGCAGTGCTCTTCTTCCATGCAGAGCCACGGGCTGTGCCCCCGCCTGTGCTGCGGCGCTTCCCCTCCCTTGTGCAGCTGGGCACAGCCCCCCGTGTGCTGGACGTGGGGGCCACCCGCAGCCTGGCCCTCTGCCTGCTCAGTGCACTCAGGGCCAACGGTGAGCGGGACCTCCGCGTGCTGGGGGGACTGGGACCCCTTGTTCCAGCACAACCCCTTCCCAACTGCTCCCTTGCCCACCACAGGGTCAGGAGCTGGCCCCACCTGCACTCTCAGCACAGGGCTCCCCATCTCCACTCTGGTGCAGTCTGGCCCCAGCTCCCAGGCACCATCCCCTCCCCTTGAACTGGGGGACATGTGGATCTGTCTGGGGGACAGGGCATCACAGGGGCAGCCAGTGCCAAAGAGGCAGTGGAAAGGCTCACCTCCTTGTGGAGGGGGTCCCAGAGCTGGGGTCCCAGTGCTCTGACCTCTCACCTCCCTTCCAGGGTCGCGAGGAGTGTTCTGCCAGGTCCGTGACGCTGATCGGCAGCAGCTGAGCTTCTACAGCAAGCTGGGCTTCGTTGCCCTGCCCGTGGCCTGGGGCAGCTCTCCCGGCACTCAGCTCCTGGGACGTCTCCTCTGACGGGGGCAAGGGGAGACAGTGCCCGGGACAGGCTGACCCCCAGGACAGGCTGACCCCCCGGGACAGGCTGATCCCCCAGGACAGGCTGATCCCCTGTCCCACACAGCATTGGCCTGAGGGAGTGGGAGCAGAGGGGCACCGTGAGCAGGTCAGGCACATGAGAGAAGAGACACGGCATGGGGGCGAGCAGGGTGCTGCTGGGATGTGTGCAGGGCTGCGAGGGTCCTTCAGTAGCAGAGAGCTATTTCTGCCATCTCAGGAGATTTGAGCACCAGGGCCCCTCTGTGCCACCCTGACTGTTCCTGCTTGCTGGGCATCCTCCGCCTTTGCCGGGGAGCCAGGCTGTCTGCAGCCCCCCAGGCCTGTTGGAGCCCTTGGACAGTGTTTGGGGTGGTGGTCCTGGAGCACAGCACGGTGCCTTAGTACTACAGGAGTGTCCCTGTCACATAGGCTGGGCTGCCTGGCTCTCTCCATCCCCTGGGTGACCCGAGGATAGGGAATTGGTGCTGGGGCTGGCTCTTGGCCCCGAGGACCTGCTTGTCTGTATGAACCAATCTGGTGTGGGACACGGTGAGGCAGCCTCCATCTTTGTGCCTGGGGGCTGAGGGGAACGCTGTTCTTGGCAATAAAGTGTTTGCTGGGCTCCCACCATGGCTTGCCTCGGGGGAAAGTGTTGGGGTGCCAGCAGGTCCTTTTCACACCCTCATGCCCTCTCTCCACCTCACACTGGCTGTTGTTACAGTCGGTCCTCAAACAAAGCAGCTCCCCATGGAACCGCGGCCCCAACCGGGCACCAGCTCCGCTCCCCGGGAAGGAGCTCCGGCTGCTGGCAGTGTGCACTTGCAGCCCCAGCCCTGTGCCGTGCGGCTTTCCTGCGGGATGGGATGCCTGGGCCGGGGCCTCCCCTGTGGGTCTGGGGGCTGCAGCCCGCCCAGGACAGGCAGGATGGCCAGGAGGGAGCATCTGCCCAGCCACCCCACCGCAGCCTCTGGAAAAGGGCTGCCAGGGGCACACCAGTGCTGGAGGTTTCCTTCCCTTGCCCTCCAGAGCCGGGTGACCCCGCCCCGGGGTGAGGAGGGGGCTGGGGTTGCCGAGAGCCCGGGGCGGGCGCGGCTGGCAGCCCCCTCTCGCCCCCCTGAGCGGCAGGTCAGCCCCCGAGGCTCCGTCCCGGGGGCCGGGGCCGGCCCTGGAGTGGAGCCCAGCCGGGGCGGGGGCCGCGGTCGGACCGGCCCCATCCCGGGGCAGCGGATGGGGGGCGCGGGCCCCGTCCTGGCCGTACGGGCTGGGGGCCCGGGGCCGCTCGGCGCGGGCCGGGGCGGCGCGGGCGGCCCCGGACACGGGCACGGCGCGGGGCGGGCCGGGGCGGAGCGGGGCGGCAGGGACCGAAATTGCTCGGGTTCGGCAACGGTACAGCTCTGCTCGGCACGATACGGCTCGGTTCGGCACGGCTCGGCTCGGCACGGCTCCGTTCGGCACGGCTCGGTACGGCTCGGCTCGACGGGGCTCGGTTCGGCTCGGTACGGCTCGGCCCGGGCCGCCGGCGCTCGGCCGGACGCTGTCGCTCGGCGCTGCCGCGCATCTCGCAGGGACCAGAGGTCCCGCCCGGGGCCGGCGGGGAGCGCGGCTGCCCCAGGAGCGGCGGGGGCTGCGCCGAGCGGGGCCCGGGCGCCTCGGGGGTGTCCCGGGGGGGGTCTCACCGCTCCAAAGCCCCGGTGGTCAGAGCGTGTCCGTGCCGTCCTCGTGGGCGCCGCGTGTGCCGCGGTGCGGGGCCGTGCCGTGGGCCGTGCCCGTGCCCCGTGGGCAGAGTGACCGGGCGCGGGCAGCGCGTGTGTCCTGCGGTAAGGGCCGCCCGGCAGATCCGCAGGTTTGTGCGTGCTGTACCGCACCCCAGCCGTGCTGTATGGGGGCTGCGGGAGGCTCGTGGGCCGAGCTGCCGGTTACAAGGGTCGGTGGAGGCTCGGGAGTTCCCTGAAGACCGAACTTGCCGTAGCTGTTGGAAGAGAGGATGGATGGATGGAGGGATGTGAGGCAGGAGGGCTGGCGCGGCTGGAGAGGTGATTCTCTCTTCGCTGCTGGCCTTGTGTCTTCTCAGCTGCTCTCAAAGGAGCCCGCAGCTGAGCCAACCCCCTCCCTCCAGCAGCTCCAGGCAAGCTGGCTCCCTGCTCCGGGGTGCCTGGGACCCCGGACCCACCACCCACACCGCAGTCCTCAGACTCGCTGCCACCCCCTCAGTCCATCGGGGCTGTCCAGACTTTGCGGCTGATGACTGATGTCTGCAAATTCCTCTGGGATCTTTCCTTCCTGTCTGTAGCTGGTCCCTCCCAGGGCTGCCCCTCTGGAGCCCGGGGAAGCTCAGAGCAGAGTGGGCAGAGCTGAGGGCCGTGCCATGTCTTGGGGAGGCTGGGTGGGGATAGGAGCTGCGAGGAGCTGCTGTGACCTGCCCTGGCTTAGAGGGTTACAGCAGGATACTGGGACATCGGGTAGCCCAAAGGGGCTGGACCTGGAGTTGGCAAGGGAAGGGAAGTGCAGCCCCAGCCCCACACAGTGCTCTGCCCCTGCTGACACCCCGAGAGCCAGAGTGTCCTTTCCTCAGCGGGGTCCCTGTCCCTGCCTGGGATGGGGGCACACAGTGGGTGGTGGGGCAGAAACCCTGCTTTCGGGGCAGCAAGGGGCAGTGAGCTCCCAGCCGGCGGGAGGTGATGCCAAGCCTGCCAGGGTGGCCAGGTTTCCGTGGTGACCCTGGGCTGCTCCCCGGTGCTTCTGAGACCAGTTTGTTTGTGGCATCCTGCTCCCCTCCAGAGCTCGGCACTGCTGACCCTGGAGCTCCGATCCGTGGGGGCCCTGCAGGCAGGGAGCCAGCAGGTCCCCTCCTGAGCGGGGTGGGAGTGTTGAGTCTCCCCTGCTTCATGCATCCCAGGGCTGCTGGGAAGCAGGAAGAGCGAACAGGCTCATCCAGGCAGCCGGATTGCGAAAGGCCCAGCTCTGGTCTGTGCGTGCCGGGGCCTTGGGGACAAGGGGAGGGATGGAGCTCTGGAGCCATGGGACTCACCAGACCTTCTCCTGCCCCGAGTGCTGAGGACGTGACCTCATGCTCTGAGGGATGTCCTGGCATGGGCCTCAACAGAGTGTGACTCTATCACCCCTTAACGTTCCCAAGGAAGGATAAACAGAGCAAGCTTCCTCTCCCTTATGCTGGCGGGTTTCCCAGGTCCTCGGTCACTTGTGCTGCTCTTCTCTGAGTCCTCCCAGTTGTCGGTGCTTGGGATGTTCCCTGTCGCCGTGCATGCGTCCGAGGCTGCTGCTGAGTGAGCACATTCCTGTCGGGCCACGATGGCCTGGCCTTCCCCTGCTGCTGTGGCTTGGGATGTCACCCCCGTGCCAGCAGGGATGCCTGGTGCTGATCAAATATGTGGACTCGCCTGGGGACCTGCTTCACCAGGAGCTGCCCCTTCCCAAGATCCATTCACCGGGGTTTTGCTGGGGCAGACTAATGTCCCTCTGCATGCCTGGTGAGTGCCAAATGACAAACCCGATTGGAACAGTCCTTGGGAACTTGCAGCCCCCTCTGGGCCCTGGGCAGCCCTGCTTGGCACCGCTCACCCTACCAGCCCCTGTGCAGGACACCTGGGGGAGCAGAGTGATGGTGGGGGCAGTGCCTGGCCATGAGGGCTGCAGGCCCTATCAGGGTGACTCTGTCTGGGGGGGCAATGGGAGCCACCGTCACTCACCGGGTCAGGCAGAGCCAGTGGGCCGGCATGAGAGCAGGCAGAGCAGTGCCGTGGCTCCTGCTGCCATGTGGGGCTGCCCTCTGCCCCGAAGGGTCCCCACGCCCGTGCCAGCCTCAGCAGCTGAGGGCTGGGGCTGGGGGGTGAAGGGAACCCCAGGGTTTTGGCTCTGCAGGGCTCTTGAACACCCCACCAGTAGTGCCAGCTGTGCCCTGGGCTGGGATGTGACTCGGGCCCCGTGCACACCCAGCTGGGACATTCCTGAGGTTTCCTGGGCAGTGGCAAGGACCTGGGGTGCTTCCAGGCTCCCACGCCCAGCGCTCACTCCAGCCAGCCCATCCTCCCGAGCCCTTTCCCCTTGCAGGGGAGTGCTGCTGTGCAGCCGTGCCCGGGGCAGCACGTTGAGCGTGGCACAGCCCAAGCCCTGGTCCAAGAAGAGACTGTCCCTGGCTGGAGTGGGCAGCTGGCAGCAGGATGGTCGGGGTGCTGGGGTGGGCTCCCCATCCAGAGCAGCACGCAGGACCGGAGCAGAGCCTGCCAGTGGAGCAAGCAGCCGGGCAGTGTCACACAGCTGGAGAGGAGCAAACGCACAGCTTATGCCTCCGAAAACGGAAAAAGTGATGTGGACAAAGAGAGCCCTGTTAGCCTGACTGCCCGGGACACGGACATGGAGCTTGTTCAGAGAGGGAGGTGGTACAGAAACAGGGAAGAAGCTGTGCTGTGCTGCAGGGAGCTCACCCTGTCAGCTGTCCTGGGCCGGGCACGGGAAGGGCTTTGGCCTGCACAGACCTGGGCAGGGCACGTCACTGGGAAACAACGAGGTGAGTGACAGAGCTGAGGTGCCAGGGCAGAGGAAGTGCAGTGGGGACAAGGGACACCGGAGCCTGAGCAGAGTTGAATTGGGACCTGGGAGAAGAGATTACAGACCCTGGAGGTTACGCTGCTGAGTCTCAGTGGGGACTCAGTGCTTTGCTGCACAAAGCCCAAGCAGTTTCTCAGGTGCCACATTTTGGTCTGTGGTCCTACGTGGTTTGCTCCTCAATGCACAGGTTTAAATTTTCCTTGTAGCCAGGGGTACAGGCTGCACGGTGCCGCTTTACCGGGCTGTGCAGGTCTGTCCCTGTCCCCATCCCTGCTCCCCGCCCCGGTTTTGTCTCTGCAGTCTGTACCAGGAGGGGACTTTTTTCCTCCTCCTGGCACAGTTTTGCTTTGAAAAACATGTGATCCTCACCAGAAAGCCCACGGAATGGTGACTTCCCCATCTAACCACATTTTAGTTCCAGCAGGTGACCAGTTTTAATCCACTTAGCAGAAGGTGCACTGATTTTGTTGAGTGCTAATTATTCATTAAAAGGTGGTGCAAGATGAATCGAATGCCTTCCAGTCTCAGCCTGTTGTATCAACACAGTTACTCCAATTAACTGGACCTGTGATCTCATAAAAGGCCATTCCCACTTCCTGACACGGGCTATTTCTGCTGGACTGAGGAGATTGGCATTAATTGTGCTGCTGTCCTTTAGGGTTGTACTGACCCCATTGTGAAACAGCCCGGTGACTGCCCACAGCAGAGCATCCTGCTCACCCAGGGCGAGAGTCAGGGAAGCTCCAGTTCTTGTGTGCTTGCAGCTTTCCCCACGTCACTGGGTGTGTGACAGGGGGCACTGAGGGGGCCCAGATTTGTGTGTCAGGATAGCTCTGAGGGTTTATAATGCTTCCTTTGGGCAGGGCAATGTCCCCTTGGTGACTGATGGGTAGAATAAGAAGGTTTTTTACTTCTGTGAGTGGTAAACTCGTCCCTTTGCTGCTTTCCAGGTGATGTGGAGATGAGGATGGAGCGTTCCTGTCCCATACCCAGAAACCCCCTTTCCTAATCTGTTGGCATGGCTGGGGTGGCTCTTTGCACCCGCCCTCCCTTCCTCCTGCCAGGACAGGCTGGGTAAAAGGTTCAGCAGAGCGTTTCCCTGCTGCCTTCCCACAAACGCTTCCTGCTGGGCTCTGCTGTTCTCGTGGTGCCAGAGCAGGCAGCAGAGGTACTGCTAGCCCAGAGCTGGCTCCCACCAACCCCAGGGGGCCCGGGTGCCTGGGCCAGTGCACGCTCCTGCCTGTGCCATGTCCCCACCAGCTCTGTGGTGTCTCCTGTGCCCCAGCTCCGATAGAGGAGAGAGCCAGATCCGTGCTGATGTGGTTGCACCGAGGGGGCTGCTGTGCTTCATAGAATCATAGAGTCTGGAAAAGACCTCCAAGATCATCAAGTCCAACCTTTTACCTTTTGAACTCAACTAAGCACTGAGTGCTTAGTCATTCCCACCACTGTATCTGGTGTAGAACTGGACCAGTGGTGCCGGTCCTTGTCACTCCTTGTTATCTCTCCCTGAGCATCTCTGGAGACCCCTGGTGCTCATCCCAAGGGACTTGCTGCTCCAGATGGCACCTCTGATGTGGTGTGTGCCCAAAGGAGCAGGCAGGCGGCAGAGCTGGGTCCTGTGGGGGCTTCTGTTGGTGCAATGGGCGTGGAAAAGGGGCTGGCACTGGGCACCATCCTGGTTCATCCTTGCCTTGGCCCAGGAAGCATTCCCAGGGGCTGGAGTGGGGACCAGGTCCCCATCATCTGGAAAAGTGAACAGAGCAGCAACAGGGCTGATTCCTCTCTAGAAACCCTGCCCTGGAGGTTGGTGGGGTGGTGGGGCAACCGTGCCAGCCTCCAGCCCTGTGTGGGTGGCCAGGCTGATGGTGAGGGCCTGTAGGGGCTGTGCTGTCCGGGAGGACCCCCCGACTCCCTCACTCTGAGGATCCCTCCCCAAACTGGCACGTGGGCAGTGAGAGGAGAGCACGGGATGAAGCCTTGCAGGGAATCATGCTGGCACCATGGGGTGGATCTGCGGGAAGGGTCCCTGTGGCACAGCCCCGACTGGGAGCATTGTCAGGACTTGAATTTGTTCTCCTTCCTCTGTGATGCTGCAGATAAACATGGGAATTTTAAATGGCCCTGGGAAAGCTAGACCTAAAAAGTTAGTGCTTTTTAATATTGTCTAATGACAAACGTGGTCTGTGTGAGTGTGGCGGGCAGGATCTGTGCTTGGGGGGATGTGGGGCACAGAGACGTCCTGCTGGGGGTCTGTCCTGGGGGTGTTTTGGGGGGTGTGGAAGGGACTGGCTGGAAGGGTGGCATGGGGCTGCAGTGGTGGGAGGAGGGTGGGTGGCCATGCTGGTGGTCTTGGGTGAGCATTGGCCTGAGCTTGCTGACACAGCCTGTGCAGAAATGCTGCTCCTGGGTATGGGATCCCTGGGAATGCTGCACCAGGAAGGGAGGGTAGCTCACAGAGAAGGGTTTTCACTATTGTTTGCGATGGGACTGGTGCAGGAATACCACATCTCCCTCAGGTATTCAGGGAGCCACAGATGTTGTTGGAGTAATGGAGAAAGGCAGCACAGGAATGCAAATGCTTTGGCTGCCTTGCTCCTCACAGAGGGCAGGAGCATGGACTGGAATCCTCTGGGCCAGCAGCCGTTCATTTCTCCTGCTGGATCGAGCTCCTGGTCAGCCCAGCTGGACTTTCCCTGTGCCCTGGGACTGTTCCAGCTCCCTCAGCCCTGGCAGCTGATCCCCCTCCTTCCAGCCACCTCTCTGAGGGTGACACACATCCCCGTGCCTGTCTGTCCTCGCTGCCCTTCGGTGCAGTGGCTGTGACCGGGCAGCACGGTGGGGGCTCAGTAGCAGCTGTTGGCAGAGGGGGCCGTGGAGTGGGGGGCACTGGGCAGAGCCCCTGACAGCCCCAGGGGTGCAGGACCGGGAGCCGTGTGCGGGGGCACCGGGCTGGCTCTGGAGGGACAAGGCACATGGTGTGTTGGTGCTGGGCAGGGGGTTTAGCCATCGAAGGGCTGGATGGGGGGGCTGGTGTTCTGGCACGGCATGCACGTCCCCTGACCCTCTGTGCCCCTGCAGAGCCAGGCTGCCATGGGAGGCTGCGGCACGTGGGCATGGCGGGAGCTGCTGGTGCTGCTGGGCAGCGTGTGGCTGGGGGTGGGCGGCTCCCAGCCCACCCCCCTGGGCCCCACGCACGCTCCCGGGCCCCAGCTGAAGTTCCGTCTGGCCGGTTACCCGCGCAAGCACAACGAGGGCCGCGTCGAGGTTTTTTACAACGACGAGTGGGGCACCATCTGCGATGACGACTTCACGCTGGGCAACGCGCACGTGCTGTGCCGGCACCTCGGCTTCGTGGCTGCCACCGGCTGGGCCCACAGCGCCAAGTATGGCAAAGGCGTCGGTAAGAGCGGGGTGGTGGGCACAGCCCCCCGGCACAGCCCCCTGCACCACCTGGTCCGAGGTGTGTGCCCCAGCAGGGCTGCATGTGCTGCTGGGGGGGGAGGGTGGGGCCGGGCAGGGCCCCTGTTTGCCGAGTGCCCAGCAGTGCATGTGTGCATGTGTGTGTGTGTGTGCGCACATGTGTGTGTGTGCACATGTGCGTGTGCACGTGTGAGTGCACACATGTGTGCACATGTGTGTGTGTGTTGTGTGTGCACGTGTGTGTCTGTATGCACATGCAAAGTGGACTGGGAACCTCTGAACGGTTGAATGTGAGCTGCTGTGCAGGTGTGAGGGGCTGTCGCGGGGCTACGCATGGCTTGGGGGGGGCCAGTATGGTGGGCTCAGGTTGGTGTAGGCAGAGGTGTAGAGATGTAGTGCGTGCAGGGCTGTCCAGAGCCCAGGATATGGGGCTTTATGCATGTTATGTGGGGCTCTATGACTGTCAGAGCAGCCCCTTGGGGAGCTGGAGACTCCCCGTTTGCAGATCTCTCACCCAGGGCTTTAGTTTTGGCATTTTGCTGGCCTCGCCTTTGTGCTGAGGGAGCCCCATCCAGCTGTGCACCTCCGTGGTCCCTGGCCGTGCTCCTTGGGCACCTTCTCTGCTCCCTCAGCCTTGGCCTGTGTCTGGCAGGGCGGATCTGGCTGGACAACGTGAACTGTGCCGGAGGTGAGAAGAGCATCGGGGACTGCAAACACCGGGGCTGGGGCAACAGCGACTGCAGCCATGAGGAAGATGCGGGTGTCATCTGCAAGGATGAGCGCATCCCGGGCTTCAAGGACTCCAACGTCATTGAGGTGAGGAAGCTGATAGCCAGGGTGGGTAGCACCATGCTCCCACGGAGCATCCTGGATGGGTGCCTGGGTGTGGGGTGCTCTGGGCACTCTCCCTCATGGCGCAGGATCCCAAGGTGACAGGAGGGTGGCACTGGCTTTCCTGGTTGTGCTCCCCGGAGGTGCTGAGGGTGATGAGGGGCGTGGGCTACACAGGGTCAGGTCCTTGGCCACCCAGGGCCACTGGATGTGGCCGGCGGGGATGCAGGACCTGGCCATCCCTGTGCTTCACCCGTGACTGCATCCTCGGAGCATCCCTGGCAGTGGGCTGGCAGGAGCTGGGGCAGCGGGGTGCAGTGTGAGCCCAGGCTGACCTGAGCCCTGCAGGCGGAGCAGAGCCACGTGGAGGAGGTGCGCCTGCGGCCGGTGGTGTCGGGGGCGCGGCGGCAGCTGCCAGTGACAGAGGGAATCGTGGAGGTGCGCTACAAGGACAGCTGGGCACAGATCTGTGACGAGGGCTGGGACAGCCACAACAGCCGCGTCATCTGCGGCATGATGGGCTTCCCAGCTGAGAAGAAGGTCAACAGGAACTTCTACAAGTGAGTGAGGCCAGCAGGGAGCCCTTGGGGGTGGGGTGTTGGAGAACAGCCAGGGGCATGGGGCTGGGGCACAGCTGGGGATGGTGCCAGGGACAAGGGGCAGTGCTGGGGGGACAGTAGGGGCTGTGCTTTTGGGTATTGTGGCTCCCCAGAATCCCTCCCATTCCTGCTGCTCTCCAGTCCGAGCACCAGCTGGCCGTGTGGGCACTCGCTAACCGAGCCAGGAGTCCGTGGCATGGCTGGGGGGCTGTGGCTGCCCACCTGTCTCATGCACTACTGCAGAGGCCGCTCCAAGAGAGCAGCTTTTGCTCCCTGACAGTGGTGCAATATCATTTCCCTCTGATGCAGAGTGTGGGGGTTCCCATCCCAAGGGGAGGTTTGCAGTCAAGGCAGGCTGGGATACCCCAGCAGCACCATGGCCTGGGTGAGGGGCAGGGACAGGCTGTCACAGCGGTGCCCAGCGTGGTGCCTGGTGCTGGGTGTGCCCTGACCAGGCAGCTCTAGTGTTGCTCTGCAGGCGGCTGAAGCGAGCAGCCAGGACGAAGGGCCGGAGCCCGAGGCCAGGCAGCAGGTAAGGGGCTGGGGTGCCCCGTCTGCTGAGCTGTGGCAGAGCTGGGCTGCCTGGCCCCACCAGTCTCTGCCGTCAGAATGGATCCTGGCACAAACAGATCTGGACGGAGCAGACTGAGGGCCTGGGCTGTGCCGGCCCAGTAAGACAAATCCCACCCCGGGGGACCTGCCTGTGTGTGCCGGGCTCCCCAGTCCCCCACGAGAGACGATCTCTCTCCCAGGCTGGCCATGCCTCAAGCAGAGCAGTTCCCACGCTGCACACCAGGCAGGAGTCCTGGCACAGAGTGAGCAGGGTGCCCTGGGAGTGGTGGAGAGGGCTGCAGCACATGGACACTGCAGCCCTGTGAGGAGCAGGAGGCCTCGGAGCAGAGCTGTCTCTCCTGGCGGATGGGGAGGAGGGCTGTGGAAATGGGCTGCTTTCTGCAGAAAGCAGCAGTGGGGAAGCTGGAAAGGCTGCACACCCCTCCATTCCCTGGGGGGTGGGCTGGCAGGGGCACCAGAGCCCTTGCTCAGCAGTGTTGGGCACCAGTGGGATGGGCACAGTGTGGCAGGACCTGCCCCAAGTGCTGCATCTGCTCGGGGTTTCTTGCATCCTCTGCCCATTCGATCTTGCTGGCTTTCTGCCAGACCCAGGGAATGGTCTGGCTGCCTTTTCCCTCCATCCCTGAATCCTGCTGCTGGATTTGGTGGTGGGTGCAGTGAGCTGGAGCCCATTCTCTCGGGGCTGTGGAATGGCTCCTCTCTTGCCTGAGCCCGTTGCCGTGTGGAGATGTTGCACTGCCCCCAGCACATGGCCTTACTCCTGTCCCACCACCTTCCCTGGTGCCCTACAGCCATCACAAGCTCTTCATTGTGACCCTTCCCATGCCTGTGTCACCAACAGCCATCCTTGCCAGCTCCTGCAACTGCCGATGGGAATCCAGGCAGGATCATTCCATGGGGTCTCCTCAAACCCCCACCTGCAGGTCCTGCTTGCTGCAATGTGCTGTTTCCTGGGTGGTTTGGTGCTGACTGCCCCTTCCCCAGCGAGCAGGTCCTTCCCCTGCAGCACTGGTCAAAATGCTTTGTGATTCCATGAGGTTGCCATTGGCTCCCGTCCCTCTGCCCGGAGCAGGAGCTGGTTCTGGAAAGCCACGCCCTGCTTTGCAGAGCTGATCAACTTGGGGCTGTGCAGCCACAGTGATACGTGGGGCACGGGCTAATCCAGGCTGGAAGGGACCTTGGGGAGCCCTGGTCCAACTCTCTGCGTGGAGCAGGGCTGGCCATGGGTCAGCCCAGAACCTTATCCAGTTGGTTTTTGAAATCTTCCAAGGATGGAGATCCTGCAGCCCTGTGGCCTCTGCTCCAATGCGACACAGCCCTCACGGGGAAAAGGTTTTCCTTACCCCGAGCCTGAACCTTGCGTTTCCAGTCACGCCTGTTTTCTCTTGAGCTCTTCCCTCTGCACTGGAAGAGCCAAGCAGCCCCTCACAGGTGGGGGTCGGTGCTGCAGTGCCCCTGACCCACGGCAGCCCCGGCTGGACCAGCCCTGTGCCCCCTCCCCTGCCACCCCACTGTCCTGCTGCTCCCCCCGGTCCTCGTGCTGTGCACATAACGTCTTCTTGTCCTGGGGACCCAGAACCGGGTGCAGGATCCAGATGTGGCTTCCTGAATGTGAATGGGCTGATGCCCTGCAGCCATCTGAATCCCAATTCCCAGCAGGCCCGTGCTGTGTCCTGGGGCTCGCTGGGCTGTGCAGGCTGACACCAACCTGCTGCTGGGCTGTGGGGCCAGTGGCCAGGCTTGATTTTGCCTGGTCCCTGAGGGTGTCAGTCCCCTGCCCTGCTTTGGGCCACTTTGCTCTTCATTCCTTGTGGGCTCTGGGGTTTTGGCTCTGTTCTCTGAGGGAAGCAAAGCATTTGAGGATGTTGGGACCACATCTACACTGTGTGTGCTGGGCCCTGGGCAGCCTCCTCTTCCCAGAGGAAAGCTTGGCCACAGCTTGGCCTGTGCCCGGACCGCTCCCTCCGCTGGCAGCAGGTTCTTGCCAGGCTGCAGCCTCTGTGGCCCCGGGGTGAGCACTCACCGCCTGTGCCACTTGCTTGCTGCTGCTTGCCAGGTGTCCTGCTCCCCGGGGGCATCGTGCAGTGACGGGTGTCTGGTGTCTGGCTGAGGGCACAGAGACGCCTCACTCACACCCGACAGATCAAATCGTGGCTGCTGATGTTTGATCTTTTGCTGTGTGACGAGGCAGCGCGGGATGTGGCTGCATCCAGCTCAGTTTCCCTGTGGGATGCGTGCAGGAAACTGCATCATTGCTGCAGAGGGCAGCTGTATCACACTGCTGGCAGCACATGATGCTGTGGCACCCATGTGTGACATGAAGGGGATGCACATGAGTCTCCCTGGGGGCCAAGGTGCCCAGTTCAGCCCCCAGTGAAGCCAGGGCAGGCCGTGCCCTGGGCTCTGTGATGGTTGTTTTCTGTTTTCCAGGCTGGCCTCCAAATCTCAGCCTAAACAAAAGCGCAGGGAGGACGTAGGGCCCACGAAGAGGTAAATGGCTCCAGTGGAGAGCCTGAGAGCCAAGAGCCCCACGCAGTCCCACCAGAGCCTGCGTGTCCCCACGTGTGTTCCTGTGCTGCTGGGGATGTGGGACAGGCAGTTGGTGAGGGGTGGGTGCCTGGCCAGCACTACATGTCACCCTGGAGATGGTGAAAGGGGCACAGGCAGCGCGTGCAGCCGCAGGCAGGGTGGCTGGTGACACTTCCACTGCCACTGGCCTCGCTGGCTGTGGCTCAGGGCTCCTCCCTCCTTGCAGGCTCTTCACGGAGCGGCAGCAGCTCAACTACCGCCTGCACTCGGTGTCATGCACGGGGACAGAGGTGCATCTCTCCATGTGCACCTTCGAGTTCTACCGAGGCAATGCCTCAGCTCCCTGCAGGGCCGGGATGCCCGCCGTGGTCAGCTGCCTGCCCGGGCCCCTCTTCGCTGCTGGCAATGCCCACAAGAAGAAACAGCGGCAGCAGCAGCAGGGCCAGGTGAGCCCTGTGGAGGGGGGGGACAAGTCCTGTGGTGGCCCAGAGCCGGACACTGCTCCTTTGCTGGGCTCTGTCCCAGGCTGCACCCCAGACTGGGTGTGTGAGTCCCTGGGTGACTGGCTCCGGAGCACGAGGTGGGGCCGGTGTCCTGTCCCTGTTCATCCCAGGAGTCGTGGCCAGCCCTGTGTTGTGCCATGCCGTGCTGTGCCATGCCATGCTGTGCCACGCCGTGCAGTCAGCACCATGCCATTCGTGCAGTGCCAGGCTGGCTGTGCTGTGCCCCACCGTGCCATCGGCACCACACCATTCTCACTGTCCCACACCAGCCTGTCCCCACTCCCCACAGCCCCGGATCCGGCTGAAGGGCGGCGCGAGGGTCGGCGAGGGCCGTGTCGAGGTGCTCAAGAGCAGCGAGTGGGGCACGATCTGTGACGACCGCTGGAACCTGCTGTCAGCCAGTGTGGTGTGCCGGGAGCTGGGCTTCGGCAGTGCCAAGGAGGCCCTCACCGGGGCACGCATGGGCCAAGGTGAGGGTGCTGGGCTTGAGGGGCCAGGCATCCCCTCCGGGGGCTGCAGATGAGGCACTTGTCTGGGCTCTGCTGGGCTGGGGGGAGCCACGGCTGGGCTTGTCCCGTGGGCACTGGGCTGCTGGATGCACGTGGAGAGTCCTGAGGGGACCACGGCCCCTCGACTGCGCTGCCCAGGCAGGAGCTGTGGAGGTTTGAGTGCACCAACTCCCTCGGGCGTGGGGACAGGGAGGCCCCGGCCATCCCCGTGTCGTGGGGTCCTGAGTCCTGCTGACCCCTGGCAGGGACGGGACCCATCCACCTTAACGAGGTGCAGTGCCAGGGCACCGAGAAGTCTCTCTGGAGCTGCCCCTTCAAGAACATCACGCAGGAGGACTGCAAGCACACGGAGGACGCAGCTGTCCGCTGCAACATCCCCTACATGGGCTACGAGAACCTGGTGCGCACCACGGGGGGCTCTTGGCAGTGGGACCCCAGAGTGGGGAGCTGGGGGAGGCCCATGGGATCCACTTTAGAGGGGCCCCTCATCTCTCCTCCTCTGCACCCCATACGTTTCTCTCTGCCCTGGGGGCTCAGGGATTTTGTGGGTGGGAGTCCCAGCCATCCCTGTGGGGGGGGGTTAGAGGGGACGCTGCAGGGGACTTTGGGCACTGTGAGGGGGGATGTGGGGCAGCTGCTCCCTGCTGCTCTCCCTGCTGCCAGCCTGTGCCCACTCCCCAGCAGAAACATCAGAAAAAAAATCGCTGTGGGCCAACCAAGAGAGATTTTTTTACCTATGATGAAACGAGCAAATGAAGCTGTCTGTTCTCATTTGCCCTGGCCCATCGTTTCATCCAGTTTGAGCTTTTAATGATTTTTAACTCTCTCATACCTGTCATTTCTGAAATGATGCCATTTCAAAATGAACTGTTTTCCCTGCTCTGTTGAGACAATTCCCAAACTCACAATCGATTCCCTTTCCCCCAGCCTGCCAGTTTCAGCAAGTTCCCTGCTGCCCAAAGCTGTGCGTTGCTCTGCTCAGCTCCTGGCTGCCCCCTCCCCATGTGCCTGAAGCCCCCGGCCCAGGGCCCGTCAGGCACCACAGCACAGCCCTGGCTGCGTCACTGCATCGGTCCCGGGAGCATCACCCGCGATGGTGATGATGCTGCCACTGCCTCTCTCTGCAGATTCGGCTGAGCGGGGGCCGGAGCCGCTTCGAGGGGCGGGTCGAGGTGGCGGTGGGGGCTGGCGACAGGGACCAGCCCCGCTGGGGTCTGGTCTGCGGCGAAGGCTGGGGCACGCTGGAGGCGATGGTGGCCTGTCGCCAGCTGGGTCTGGGATTCGCTAACCACGGCTTACAAGTAGGTGCCAGCACCAGCTTGGCCAGGGCAGCCAGCAGCCACCACCACTGCTCACGGGGCTGGGGACAGGACGGACAGGGCTGGGGACGGGCGGGAGGTGGCACGCACAGGGTGCCCGCACAGGGTGCCCGCTCACGGCCCCAGGCCTTCCCCGCAGATCCGCCTGGCCGGCGGGAGGACGGTGTTCGAGGGCCGCGTGGAGGTGAAGCGAGGCAGTAAGTGGGGCACGGTCTGCAGCGATGGCTGGACCACAAAGGAGGCCATGGTGGCCTGTCGTCAGCTCGGCCTGGGTTACTCCCTGCATGCGGTGATGGTAGGTGCCAGCGGGGAGGCCCCGGTGATGCCCTGGTGAGCACAGACACCGGCGCTTCCTGGGCAGCTGTGGGGCTGTCTGGGGACAGAGGCACATGGCCGCTCCACGCTGCAGGACAGGGCAGCCTGGGGTGTAGGCAGGGCTGTGCGTGGTGGGGCTCTGGCTGCAGCCTGGGCATGAGTGAATTGGGGCAACCGGGCCACCAGCCATGCCACCCACCCTGCCTGGCCCCTCCTCAGGAGACGTGGTACTGGGACGCCAGCAACGTGACAGAGATGGTCATGAGCGGGGTGAAGTGCGCTGGCCACGAGATGTCCCTGAGCCACTGCCAGCACCACGGCGCCAGCCTGAGCTGCAGGAACACGGGCACGCGCTTCGCCGCGGGCATCATCTGCTCCGAGAGTGAGCGGCCACGGGGGCTGCAGGCGGGGGGCTGAGAGTGGTGGGGTCTGTGGGCAGTGGGGTCTGTGGATGACAGTCCCGTGGGGCCAGGGATGCAGCTAAAGAGGCTGCAGGCAGTGGGGTTTGCAGATGGAGGGGCTGCAGGGTCAAGCCCGTGCCCGGCAGATGGGGCCGCATCCCCCCTTGGCCAGCTAATCCCTGCCAGCACCGGGCACTGCCCTGTCCCCGCTGAGCAGTGGGGCCTGTCCCAGAGCAGCTGCCTTTCCCCAGCTGCCTCCGACCTGCTGCTGCACGCGCCGCTGGTGCAGGAGACGGCCTACATCGAGGACCGGCCGCTGCACATGCTGTACTGTGCCGCTGAGGAGAACTGCCTCTCCAGCTCGGCCCGCCTGGCCAACTGGCCCTACGGGCACCGCCGCCTGCTCCGCTTCTCCTCCCAGATCCACAACCACGGCCGGGCCGACTTCCGCCCCAAGGCTGGCCGGCACTCCTGGGTCTGGCACGAGTGCCACCGGTGCGTGGGGCACAGGCAGAGACGGGCGTGGGCGGGGGCAGCCTGGGCGGGGAGAGGGTGATGGTGCTGCTGCAATGGGCTGAGCGAGGGTGACACTGGACGAGGGTGATGCTGGGCAGGGGTGGCACTGAGAGAGGGTGACGCTGTGTAAGTGTGACACCGAGTGAGAGTGATGCCGGGTGAGAGTAACGCTGGGTGAGGCTGACGCTGAGTGAGGTACCATTGCTGCCCCTTGTTTGGCTCAGGGCTGCCCCTGAAGGAGCAGTGTTGGGGTTGGAGGCCCCATAGTGGGCAGGGACAGGGCTGTAGGCTGGGCCCTGTGGCTGAGCCCTCTGCTTGCCTGGGCCATCTGGCTGGGGACAGCTGTGTCACTCTCAGGGCAGGACAGAGCTCTGCCCAAACTCACGGTGCTACGGCCTCAGAGCAGGGGCTGGGGGGACCTTCCTGGTGGTGAGGGGCCAGGCCCTCACCAAGATGGTGTGGGGGGTTGACACAGGGCAGGGCAAGTCTCCCGTCTGCCCCGGGGGTCTCTGCCTCTGCCAGGCTCCAGTCAGCAGGCGCTGGCTCCCTCCCACAGGCACTACCACAGCATGGACATCTTCACCCACTACGACATCCTGACCCCCAACGGCACCAAGGTGGCTGAGGGACACAAGGCCAGCTTCTGCCTGGAGGACACGGAGTGCGAGGAAGGTGAGTGACACAGGGCCCTGCAGCACCGTCCCTGCCCGTGTCCCTGTCACAAGGCTGCTGGGGCCAGACTGGGTGGGCGTCACAGGGGCTACAGAGGGGAGCTGCAGCAGGGATGAGCTGCATCTCCTCCTGCCTGCAGATGTGGCCAAGCGGTACGAGTGTGCCAACTTCGGGGAGCAGGGCATCACTGTGGGCTGCTGGGACCTGTACCGGCATGACATCGACTGCCAGTGGATCGACATCACTGATGTCAAGCCAGGCAACTACATCCTGCAGGTGCTGGACCTGAGCTGCCCCGGCCCCTCCTGCCACCCTACCGTGTGCACCCCCACCCTCTGCCCCTACGCCCCTGATCTCCACATGCCCCAGCAACCCGGCCCTCTCTCCCACTGGAACTGGGTGGGGCTGGCAGGTGTGCTGCTGTAGGACAGTGCCTGTCCTCATACCCACAGACATGCAGGGCTGCTCAGACAGGCTTCTGCATGAGTTTTCCAGCTCTGAGCAGTGCTGCTCATGGGCACACGGTGCACAGGGACAGAGCCACCCCAGCACAGTGGCTTCTTGGAGCCCTCAGCACATCCAGGGCAGCTGGGGAGACACACCCCATGGGGCTGGGGCACGGGGCTCCTGTCCTGGGCACAGCTCCACCGAGGCCGGGAAGGTGTGGGACAGGGGGCTGTGCCCTCACTGTCAGTGCCCCACAGGTTGTGATCAACCCCAACTTCGAGGTGGCAGAAAGTGATTTCACCAACAACGCCATGAAATGCAACTGCAAGTACGACGGGCACCGCATCTGGGTGCACAGCTGCCACATCGGTAACGCCCGGGACACGGCCCAGGGGCGAGGGCATGTGGGCAGGGCTGCCCTGGGAGAAGGGCAGCGATGTGGCTGCAGGAGGCAGTGGGGATGGGGGTGGGCAGGGTCTGGGGCTCTGGGGGCAGCTCTTGTGGGAGGGGAGGTGCCGGCAGGACGGGTGACCTGCAGCACCAGAGCTGACAGCTCTTTCTCTCTGCCTGCAGGAGATGCACTCAGCGAGGAGGCCAACAAGCGGTTTGAGCAGTACCCGGGTCAGCTCAACAACCAGATTTCATAGGGCCCCAGACCCCAGAGAGATGGGCATCTCCCTCCCTCATCCCGTATGGGTGGGAGGAAGCCCCTGGGGGCTGGCAGGGAGGCCTCTTGCCCGGCACTGCTGCTGCTGGGGACTGCCCAGGACTTGCCACCGGCTGCCCTTCCCCGCCTCGGGGGGCTGGTGCTGGAGGCACCGACACCTGCACCTCCCAGCCTGGGGCCGCCACCCCAACCACTGGCCAGAAGACCGTGCCCACGTTCCCTGGGCTGCGGCACACGGGTACGGTCTGGGAGGTCCTGCACCCCCCACCACTCCAGTCCTTCCCATTCCAGCCGTACCCCACCTCCCGCTCCTCCCTTTCAGCCCTGGTTCCTCTCACTCCACATCCCTCCCCTGCGCTGGTCCCAGGACCCACCCTCCATGCAGGGACCCATTCCCCTGCCTGGCCTCAGGAGCCCCTGGTCCCCAGGGATGGTGAGGGTACCCCTGCTCACAGCACTGCCCAGGGGTGGCTCATACCCCATCTCTCAGTTGTAATTTTATTTTCTCTATAAAGTTGTTAGTTCTATTTCCCAGTGGCTGCTGGCACTTCTCTGCCCCGCGTGGCACAGCTCGTGCTGCAGGGCTGGTTGGCACACTCTGGCACAGGGCATGGGAGCACCCCCTGGCCAGCCCCTGCACCTCCTGGGATGGTGGAGTGAGGCAGTCCCCCTGTCCACACAGTGCTGGCCCCGCACCAGCCCCCTGCCTGTACTCCCTCAACCAGGTTCCCCCGCTCTGGGAGAAGCCCGAGTGGGCGAGAGGAAGGGGCCAGCAGCAGTCCCACGGTACCACATCGGGGGCACTGAGGGGTCACTCTGGCACAGCTGGGGTGTGGTGAAGTGCTGGTTCCCCTGCACCAGATCCAGGGCAAATGTTATCCAGCAGAAATCCCACCCCGGGGCTGTGACCCATGAGGACTGGGGGCTCACGATGGAGGGGCTGCCTCGACTTGTGTGGGAGCAGAGCCTGGCGGGGCCAAGACACGCTGGGCAGGGACACTCGGACATGACACAGGGGCCGAGGGAGGCACAGCCCAGCTCTCACACCTCAACCCGGTGCTCTGGTCGTGCCTGCAGCACACGGGCTGTAGGGACACCAGGCGCTGCCCCCGAGCCCGGGAGGAGGAGGAGGAGGAGGAGGAGAGGCCTTGGCTGGGGCCCTGGAACGCGCTGCGGTCAGCGCCGCCGGAGCAGCTATGCCAGACACGCCGCGATTTCCCCCGCGCCGGCGGCGCTGGCCGGGACAGCGAATTCCTCCGGCGAGGCCGGGGCTGCTCAAAGGACGCCTGTTCTCGGGGCAGGGGAGCGCCTGGGGGCAGGAGCGGAGCCGGGCCTCGCCGCAGCTCCCCCGAGGAACTGTGCTGCTTTCATCTCCCAAAGCAGCAGCCGGGCCCGGGAGCCCCGTCCCGGGCAGGGCCTGGCCCGACACCCGCAGTCCTGCACCGCACCGGGCCTGGCCCGACACCCGCATTCCTGCACCGCACCGGGCCGGACGCGGCCGGGCCGGGCCGCCCTCGCCGCAGAGCCGCTGCCTCCCGCCGCGGGAGCGGAGGGGGATCTTCCAGGAAGGCGAGGAACGGCTGGAGCTGCTCCTTCCCAGAAGGGCCGGCCAGGCAGCTGCACAGCACAGGGACGGGCCCGGCTGTCCCCAGGGCCCGGGTGTGTGTGGGAGCGGACACTGGGCTGGGGTGGGACAGGCAGAGCCCCGGCCCAGCTTCCACCCTCGGCCCTCCTGAACATCAGGGCCAGGAGATGCTGCCTCGGTCACGGCAAAGTCCAGCATCAACACCCCTTTCACCATGGCCTGGAACGCTGCTGCATGGGAGGGGATGTGGGCACAGACCTCGGAATGCTCACAGAGCTCCCAGCAGAAGCGATGTGACCAGCTGAACATGGCACAGCCACAGCAACACAGAGCAGCTCGGCTGCACTCCAGGGAAGAACTGCCAGAGCTGCTCCGGGGCCACTCTCACCACAGAGGGGCTGCACGAAGCTTGACAGCTGCCAGCCTGGTACAGATGGAGGAGTCAGATCCCAGCTGTGTGGGTACTGAGCAGGTGGCAGGACACCATTAACGCTGAGGAGGTCCCTGGAGGCACAGCCAGCTCCTCCCCACCTGGAAGGTCTTGTGTGAGGACTGACAGGAGGGGCAGGGTCCCACGCGGCCCGGCCTCCACCAGGCAACTGCTGCTGTTGTGAGAAGGTGATGTGGCATGGAGGGCCCTAGAAAAGTGCTTTATTTTGAGTACTCAGGGAAATTGCTGCATCACAAGTCATCCAAGCACCGGGCCGGGCCCCTCTCCTGGCTCCTTCCAGCCCTGCATGAGCTCTCAGGCCCTGCCTGGCTGGCACAGACACAGCTCAGTCCTGCTCTCAGCCCTCGGGCGGTCCCCACTACTCCGTGACCTCGGGCACGACGCTGAGCAGCAGCGTGTCGTGGCCGCGGCGCACCAGCATGGCCAGGCTCTGCTGCGTCCGCACCGCCTCGTACACGTCCTCAGCGCGCCGCGACGCCGTCCCGTTGATCTCCAGCACCACGTCGCCGGCCTTCAGCCCAGCCCTGCAGATGGAGCACAAAGCGGGCAAAGCAGCCACTCAGCTTCACCAACCCTGCAGGATGGAGGGGCAGGCACAGGAGCCTTGGGCCGTGGCACCAGGTGTTCCTCCAGCCACGCTGGTACCTCAGCCAATGGGACACCCAGCCTGGGCAAGGGTGCCCAGGTGGTTTCTGCTGCAAGGCCCGAGCCCTCCTGCTCTGGAGCAAAACACATCCCCCCTGGCACGGCTGCTCCCTCACACGTCCCGAGGCAGCACTTACTGATGGGCCGGGGAGCCGATGATCACCTTGTGGATCAGCACGCCGTAGGACACGTCGGGGAAGCTGGGGTCACGCAGCTTCAGCTCCGCCAGGATGCTGCACAGTGGGAATTGGCGTCAGGGATGGAGCTGGAAGCAGAGCAGGGCTCCCACCCCACCCCAGCTGCACAGGCTCAGAGAACAGACACAGAACCTCCCCTCCTGTGTCCCTGCACGCTGCTGAGTACAAGCACAGCTGCCAGCCCCAAACACCACCACCACTCTGCCAAAACAAGAGGACAAGAGTCCCAGTGGCGCCAGGGAGAGCTGGAAACTACTGGAGCAGCTGCCATCTGGATCAGAGTTGTGGTGATGCACGTCCCCACATCACATCACCCTTCCTCGTGTCAGACCCACCCCTCCCCTGCTGCAGTTTCCCTTCTCTGTTCTGGTTGGGCAGGACACACAACACAAGCCATGCCCCTCTTCCTGCCAGACCTGTCACCAGAGCTCTGCCCACATCTCTCCTCTGGAATCTAGAGACTAAATAATCCCTGTTCCTCCAACTTTCTCACAGATTTTAAGTTTTCTAAACCAAGCTTAAACTCTGCATCTCTCACAGCTCCACTTTGGACTCTCCCCAATATCTTCTCATCCCTCCTGAACGTATCCAGAAGTGGGTGCAGCACTCCAGCTGGATCTCCCCAGAGTGGAGAGCAGCATTCTTCCCTCGAACACTGCAGTGGCTCTGATCCCTGCAGCCTCACTCACAGTCTCTGCCCAGCTCTGCTCCCACCAGGTCCCTGCTCAGCCAGTCAGGGCTCCTCATACGGCAGTGGTCTGTGCAGAGCTCTACTGCACTGTCCCACAGCTCAGTGCAAGCTGCCACCCCTTCCTGACAGAACAACGGGCTCTGTGCCGTGCCCAACACAGAGCTTCCCCTTCCTGTGCCAGGGAAAGGTTCTGGCCTTTGCAATGAGCGTGTTCAGACCAGTCACCCTTTTCCAAGGCAAGCAACCCCTTCTTGGAAGAGCTTCCCCCTGGAGACAAAGAGGCCTGGCAGTCAGGTGGTTTCCCTGGACCCGCTTCCCAGGAGCCACGTCTGACGCATTTCACGCTGCTTCCTCACAGACCCCGTCCCGCAGCGTGGCCAGGGAAGCAGAAGGAGGCTGGGTTCCCACATTCCTTGGGTTCTGCCAAGTACCAGCACCATCTACTGGGCACCCACTGGGGCTGCCAGCAGTGCTGGCTGTGCCCCCACCACCCCCTCAGGGGACACAGAGCCCCTGCTCCTCCCTTTGAGGCCAGGCAGGAGCCCCAGAGGCTGCTCGTGGTGCCCGGGGCAGGCAGCCCAGAGACCCAACCAGCCCACGGGAGTCACGAGAGCTTTAGGAGAGCAGAGCATGGCCCTGAAAGGTGTCTGCCCAGCATGGCACAACACCACCCCCAGCAACATGCTGAGCCCCACAAGGCAGCTGAAGGTCACCTAAACGTGGCTGCAAGAGCCAAGGAACGGGAGCAGCTGCTGCCCTTGAGAACTGCTCCCAGAGGTGAGAGTGCAGGTCCTGTTCGCTCCTGACATTGGTCTTTCATGGACTCACAAAATTGTTTGGGTTAGAAAAGATCCTTAAGATCAAATCCAACTGCTCCCCCCTAGAACTGCCAAGACCACCACTGACCATGTCCCCAAGTGCCACATCCACAGGGCTGTTAAATTCCTCCTGGGATGGGGTCTCCCCCCCTGCCCTGGGCAGCTGTGCCAGAGTTGGACAGCCCTTTCCAGGAAGGAATTTTCCCACTATCCAACCCAAACCTCCCTGGCACAGCCTGAGGCTTTTTCCTCTCATCCTGTTGCTTGTTCCCCGGGAGCAGAGCCCGACCCCCACCTGGCTGCACCCCTCCTGTCAGGGAGTTGTAGAGAGCCAGAAGGTCTCCCCACAAGCCTCGTTAGACCAGTCTGGAGTCTAACCACAACATGAGCACAAAGAGATTCAGGACTGAAAGTTTAAGCTGTGGAGACAATCCTACCAAAACCAGGCACCTCCAGTTAGTTGGGAAGATCCCATTACACGCCTGCCCCAACAGGACCAGTCTTTTGGCCCCCAAGCTCAGGACAGGCACCTGGGAGTGAGGGTCAGCATCATCACCCCGATGTACCGGCGCTTCGTCTCTGCATTGCCAAACCAAGAGCCTGCCGAAGGAAAGGACACGGAATGTCATGGCTGGAAAACAGAGACACACTCAGAACAGTGCTGGGCTGAGCCCCACAGCCCTCAGGGCAGGCAGTGTGTGCAGAGCCATTCCCAGTCCCCACAACAGCTCAGTCCAGCTCTTGCTACCGGCGAAAGTATTACAGATGTTGCATTTTGCACTGACTTTGCTTCCCCAGTTTGTCAGTTTTTTGACTGAGAATGTCCCTCCCTGGCATCACAGGAGAACAGAAGTCTGCCTTAAATAATTCTCACACATAGAGGCACAGAAAGAGGCAGCATTCCACACGGCCAAATGAAGGACTTGTTCTCTACACTACCACTGAATCCTACACCTGGACTTCCACCACTGCACACCAGATGCAGGTTACTTAGGACACCTGACCTGCAGCAGAGGTAGGCAGCTGTGGGCAGGGCAGCAGCAGCAGCACAGCTTTCCAGTGGCACAGGAGAGTTTCATGCCAGATGGGACCCCAAAGGCTCCTTCTCCCGCTCTCCTTGCCCTCATGTGGAAGAAAGGCTTGGAGCCCAGCTGTGCCAGAGCTTCCCTCTCTCATCCTGCTCCCCCAGCACCCGAGCAGGGAGGCTCCCACTCACTCTTGCGCTGCTCCTCCCTTTGCAGGAACTTCCGGAGCTGGTCGGACGGGATGGCAAAGGAGATGCCCGATGTCACCTTCATGGTGTTCACCCCAATCACCTCGCCATCCTGCAGGGAAAGGGCACTGGGATACCCAGCCTGGGTCACTGTGGAGAGCAGGGGAACTACTGCACCAGCCTGAGGTCCCAGCTGGGTGCCCACCCCTTCCCAGGCTGCTGCCCCCGTGTCCTGCCTGACCCTGCCAAGGCTGGGCAGGGCCCAGGGGCTGAGCCCACCCAGCTCCTCACTCTGCCCAACCAGCACCAGCCACGCCTCACTGGGCAGGGCTTGGCTCCGCCAGAGTTCCATCGGCTCTGGCTCCCTCAGATGCTGCACAGGGTTCCCATGCCAGGCTGAATCCTCCCCCTCCTCCTCACAGGGAGCCTGAAGGACTCACAGGCCCTCCCTCCTGGCACCCACAAGCGCTCCCGTAGAGGGGCACAGAGTGAGGGGCACACAGCACATCTCTGCCCCAGCCAGCAAGGGGACAAGCAGCAGGACTCACCAGGTTGACGAGGGGGCCCCCGGAGTTCCCAAACTGCGGCAGAGGAGAGAGAGCGAGCAGACCATGAGAACCCCGTCCTGCACGGCAGCAACGGCAGGAGGCCGATCCCAGGAACGGGGTCAGGCTGATCCCACAGTGCCCGGGTGACCGGCCAGAACCCCCTCAGCTCCCCGTGCTCCATGTGAGCCCCCTCCTCCCCCCAGCCCCCCCAGCCCCACACCCTTACGTCGATGGCGGCGTCGGTCTGGATGTACTCCATGTCGGAGGCGGCCAGGCCCAGCTCGCGGCTGCCGCGCTGCGCCGAGCTCACGATGCCCGAGGTGATGGTGTTCTGCAGCGCGAAGGGGCTGCCCATGGCCACCACGAACTCGCCCTGCCGCACCTCGGCCGAGCGGCCCAGCGGCAGCGTGGGCAGCGGGTGCTGCGGGGAGCGGGACGGTGAGCGGGAGGGGCGAAGGGAGGGTCCCCACGTCCCCACGCCGTGACACGCACCTTGGGCTTGATCTTGATGGTGGCGATGTCGGCCACCTGGTCCACGTCCTGCACCACGGCGTCGTACTGCTCGCCGCTGGCCAGCTTCACCCGCACGCGCCGCCGGTTGGCCACCACGTGCGCGTTGGTGACGATGAGCCCGTCCGGGGACACCAGGAACCCTGAGCCGTTGGAGATGGGCACGTCCCGGCCCAGAAAGGGGTGCCTGCGAGGGGGGCACAGGTCAGGAGGGGTGGCAGGGACCCTGCGGGGTCTGGTGGGGGCTCCAGGGAGGGCAGGTGGGGCCACGCAGATGGGTAGGGCTGGGAAGCAGTGGGGAACAGGGAGAATGTCTGGGCAGCAGCCTTTCCCATTGTGAGGCAGAGGGTGTGACACTGGACACAGGTGTGACCAGGGTGGAGGGCAGAGCTGCTGCCCTGAGATGCTCCAAGAGGCTGGAGGTGCTGGATGGTGAGATTATGGAGTGCAAAGCGAAATAAACGCAAAGTGGTGCTCCTGAGGCAAAGTGACAGGGCAGCCTGGAAGGCAGCTCTGCTGGACGGTCCCGGAGGACAAGGAGGTGGCAGCGGTGTGTGGTAGCCGTGTGTCCCCGCGGCGTGTCCCCGTGTGCCGGCTGCGTGCACGGGCAGCGGGACCGGGTCGGTCTCTCCCGCGGCACTTGGGGGACCCCACTGGGACGCCGTGTCCGGTTAAGGGACACAGGCCAGGGCGGCTGCAGGAGAGCCCGGCGGAGGCTGCACCGCGTAGGGAAGCGGGGAATCCCTCCCGCGGACCGCCCGGTGCCGGCACCTGCCCACGATCTCCACGTAGACCAGCGCGGGCGCCGTTTTCTCCACCACGTCGGCGATGAAGTTGAAGGCGGCGCGGGGCGAGGCGGGCGGCGGAGCGGGCGGCGGGGCGGGCACGGCCGCGCTCAGCGCGGGCCGCCGGCGCTCCCGGGCCCACAGCAACACCAGCGCCGCCGCCCCCGCGCCCACTGCCGCCGCCAGCGCCCGGCCCCCAGCGGGGGCCGCCGGAGGAAGGGGCGGGGGTGGTGGCGGTGGCGGAGGAGGCTCGGCGGCTCCGGTGAGTGCTCGGCACCAACGCAACGCTACCGGCGGAAGCGGGACCCGCAGGACACGCACCCTCCGCGCCGCCGCCGCCATGCTGCCGCTGCCGAGCGGAAGCCCCGCCCCGCCGGGGCGAGGCCCGGCCGCGGGGCACGCTGGGAGCTGTAGTCCTGGGGCGGGAGCTGCC